TCTGTCTACATTTGCATCTTCGCTACCCTAGGGGAGGAAAAATTCCTTTTCCCACCATCTTCCTAGGTTTTTCAACGGGAGTCCTACAAATCAGACTGAAAAAAGACAGGTGAACATGAGAAAAACAACTAGAAGTTTATTAACATGTGCACAGTAGAGACACACCAAACTCAAAGATGAGTAACCAAAAGGGACGGTTATGTAGCATCTTTTTTTTTTTTTTTTGAGACGGAGTCTCCGTCGCCAGGCTGGAGTGCAGTGGCGCAATCTCGGCTCACTGCAACCTCCGCCTCCCGGGTTCAAGTGATTCTCCTGCCTCAGCCTCCTGAGTAGCTGGGACTACAGGCACGTGCCAACACTCCCAGCTAATTTGTGTATTTTTAGTAGAGACGGGGTTTCACCTTGTTGACCAGGATGGCCTCAATCTCTTGACTTTGTTATCCGCCTGCCTCGGCCTCTCAAAGTGTTGGGATTACAGGTCTGAGCCACCGCACCTGATCGGTTATGTAGCATCTTAACAAAGAATAGTACACTAGCAGAGAAGTGACAAGGCCAAGGCCAAGGCCAAGGACTGAGTTTTCAAGGAGTGGCAAATTGCAGAAAGGCAAATATATGAGGAGACCAAGGGGACGATACGGGTGGTTAGCAAGGTTTGTTATGTGGGTTCCTCTGGTGCTGTCTCCAGGCTGCCAAGAGTCTGAAGTTGTCTCCTGTGATTAACAATGAACTTCTGTCCTTCCTGGTTGAGAGGGAAGGAGGGCACCTTTACCATTTCTGTCCTTCTTTTAGGACAAATAGGGGGAGGAGAGGGAGATCTTCTGTCTGCTGTTTCTCAATTGCCTTCGGTCCAAAACAGTCCTTATGACAAAGTGGAATATTTTGGGGTGGCATATTCTGCCAACCCTAACTTCTCTAACAAACTCTTCAATTAGGCTTCCAGCTCAACCACTCCTGAAACCATTCCTCTCGCCGGCCTACCTGTGGCAAATCCAGTGAATGCCTCAGCCTCCTTATCCCATTGGACCGAGATGACCCTCCCCATGCTTTGAAACCTTCTGGTCATTTGGCTTCTCTCTCCCCCCCTCCCAGCTTTCCTGACTCCCTGGACGGCGGAATTCTCCACTCTGCTGCTAGGCATCGCTCCACCAGAGCCCTGTGGGTCATCAGCAGGTGGAATGAGGAGCCTGTTTGATGACAGCATTTAAGCCCCCCTTCCCTCTTCCCCTTTGCCCCACATCTGGACAAGCTACTGTGGGGACCCACTAGGAACCTTAGAGTTGGTATGAAGATTATTTTATGCTGAAGACATTGGAGATTCAACAGATGCAGAAAGAAGCTGGAGCACTCCTTATCTGACTAATATTAAGCAGCAACTTTAAAACCGAGGCTGCCATAAATTCCCCTTAGGGCAGTTTCTACTCACAAGAAGAAGATTGAGACCCTATCATAAAAGTTTCATGGCCCTGAGGAAGATGGGAAAGACCATTCATACCTGCATAAACAAATATTATTAGAAACTTTTCTTTCCTCTTTGTTCTCCTAAAAACCCTTTTGTGGCCGGGCGTGGTGGCTCACGCTTGTAATCCCGGCACTTTGGGAGGCTGAGGCGGGTGGATCACGAGGTCAGGAGATCGAGACCATCCTGGCTAACACGGTGAAACCCCGTCTCTACTAAAAATACAAAAAACTAGCCGGGTGGAGGTGGCGGGCCCTGTAGTCCCCAGCCTACTCGGGAAGGGCTGAGGCAGGAAGGAATGGCGGTGAAACCGGGAGGCGAGCTTGCAGTGAGCTGGAGGATCACGCCCCACAGCACTCCTGCCGGGTGAACAGAGCGAGATCTGCCTCGGAAAAAAATAACCCTTTTGTCCTTATCCTAAAAAACCTAGTTGCGGCTTGGGCGCGGTTGGCTCAAGGCCTGTCAATCCCAGCCACTTTGGGAGGCCCGAGATGGGCGGGATCACGAGGGTCCAGGAAGATCGAGAACCATGTGGGCTAACACCGGTGAAACCCCGTCTCTACTAAAAAATACAAAAAATTAGCCCGGGCCGAGGTGGGCGGGCCGCCCTGTGGTCCAGCCTACTCGGGAGGCCTGAGGCGGAGAATGGCGTGAACCCAGGAGGCGGAGCTTGCAGTGATGCCTGAGATCCCGGCCACTGCACTCCAGCCCTGGGCCGACAGAGCCAGACTCCCGTCTCAAAAAAAAAAAAAAAAAAAAAAAGAAACTAGTTGCTCTTCCTATTCCCCATAAGGCTTTTTTTTCTTCTCACTCCTTTTTTTCCTTTCCTAAGTTTAGGTTTATTAAGCCATTAAACTTTAATTACAAGCTAGCTACCTTCTTTTGTTTTCTGATATATACCTACAAAATA